CAAGTCCTTGGGAAATGTACCGCTGGATCTGACTGCGATTTTGAGGAAACCTCCTCAACTCTTGAAAGCGAGATTAGGAGACAGTGAGAATGAACAATGACATGCAATGAAACATACTCAAAGGTTGTTCTGTTTCCGGTGATGATTTCTGGAGCCCCAGGATTCCGCAGTACCACCTGCATACTCATTGTGGTGCTGATACTGGACATAGGATTTGCCAAAAAAATCGGGAACGCATGTCCAAGGCTTAGTCGACACCACCAACCTCCAACAACCACCATGCATCTCATCCTGTCCGACTGGCAGTCTGCCGTTTTTTAAACTGGGGAGTAATTGTCCCATTTTCAAATGAATGAACTAAGCCATGGTTTTTGAATGTTTTCCACATAGCAAGCGGGATGCACTTCCAAGTGCTTACTTCTTTCAGATCGTTTTATCTCAACGTACCTCAATGGACCTACCACCCTCCCATGCCCCCCAAAGCCGCCCCAGTTGCGTCTGGATCATCCAGGTGATTTCCTGCGATAGAAACCGGGAGGGGAAACAAACCCCAATGGTAACAAAGTCAAAGTGAGGAAATTGTGTTCCAGTGAAATCAGTTAATAAATATGAGTAAGGAATCTGTTTCTTTGGTTAAGGAGTACCCCAATGATGGCTTATTTTGGTGCTTTTGACACTCTTTTGTAAGCAATTTTGTTCCTAGCCCAAGTTATGCAGAAAAAATCCATTGCACCAGCAAACCAATTTTTTTTAACTGGGATGCTCCTAAACTAGCCATGACCCCCAAATGTACGGAGATCCCATCAATGATAATCATGCACAGGGAGACCATATCCATGCACTCCTAAATTTTAACCATTCGAAGCCCGATTTCCTGCCGGGGTTTGACATCAATTTCTAGCCGGCTAGATGTCTGGACATCCACCGAAAAAATCTGCCAAGTTGGTGGCTGAACAACTGCTTCCTTGTTGCCTCTTGTGGCTGGCCAGTGGTCGCGGTGTTATTTGTGTCATTTGCTCAGCAAATTGAGCCGTCGAAATTTCCCTATCCCATCCCATCATAGTGGCTTGTTGATAAGTATCCTATTGGTCAACAAACTATTTTTGTTCATTGACAACCCCCAAAAAACAGGTAGATTAATACCTCGCTATAGAAGCCCCCAAAGATAGAAAAATCATTTCTCCCCATTTAGTAGACTTTTAGCTTAAATGTGTTTGCAACTGTACATGTTTTTTTTTTTCGGGAGTTAGCTTAAATGGTTCATACCCAATCAACAAACAAAATTTTCGGTGCCAAAAACACCCCACAAGTTTCTTGCCGAGTTTCTCTCCCCTTTCGAGATCTCCGCATGCTGGATCTGCGGCACCGGATGGGGAGCCGGATGTGGCTGCAAAGTCCTTGGGAGCTCCACCATCTTTGGGGCGGGAATCTGCATGGGTACGACCTGCAGCACATGGGGAATTGGAAGGCTTCAACGGGAAATCATCCAGGTTTTACCATGGAAGTTTTACCATGGGTTTTACCATGGGTTTTACACTATCAAATATCATAAATCTAATGACACTAGGATTGGAAGGGCGAGAACCGGCACCCAAACATCGCGAGATATATCCTCTGTTAATCACACGTGGCTGGCTAGAGGAATTATAACTCAAAAAACTATATAATATATATAATATATATATATAATATAATATATATATACTCTAGAAAACACAATGGATATAATCAATCAACAATAAAAAACATGCACATTGGATAAACCATGAACATGTTGACCATGGACGGGGGGCGAAAACCTCTAAAGCTGGCGGATCCACGAGGCCAAGAGTTGCAATTCGCAACCTAATTATCCTATTTGGCGGTTCCTAAAATTGGGACCCCCAGTCGTCACCATGGGTTAACCTATACTAAGTCATGGTCATCCATGACGACTGGATGATTTGGGGTACCCCCCATGACTTTGGAAACCTCCATTTGTGTCCGTTTTTGTGTGGGAACCCTGGAAGTTGCAGGGAGCCAATCCCTCCATGGTGGTATACCACCATCTCAATGGATTTTGGTCTCGACCTTTGACCATGGCACAAATGGGATGTTGGTCTATTTATCTTCGATCACACTGGTTTGCTCTGGTTCCTTAATTGACCCGCTTGTTGTCCAGCTAGTTGGGGTTCACTAACTAATTGCCCTTTTTGGGGTATCTCCCAATGTTTGATCAAAAACATAGCAACCATAGGCAGGTTTTTACATCCAATTTCGCCCTTACTATATCCTCATGAACTTGCCAAATTCAGCCGTTCTGACCGTTGACTCCACTCCCATGAAAATCAAGTTTTCTAATAAACTCCCCATTTCTGCTTGTTGAATCAGCCATTTCCGGACAGATTCTTGTCGCTTCATCCACCAAAATCCCGGTGAATCACTGGAAATAAATGGAAATTTAATTTTTATAGATCGACACCGGGTATATCACAGATTATAAGGGTTTGGTGATAATCACTGGTTTTATATCACAAATTTTATAGATTATCACATCAATGTTTGATGATTTTAAGGGTGAAAATTGGTTGTGTAAAGATACCCAAAAAAACCTCAAGTGAGGCCTCAGGAATCGCAGGTCGATCCATCAATAGGTGCTTCACCATTCCCTCAGATCAGGACACTGCCAGGAGGTATCATGGATGTAACTAGGAAAGAACTAGGTTTATAGTTGCGAAGTTGGTTAACATAGTTTGATAACTAGTTTTTTTTGGGCTATAAACACACATATATGTACATAATTATATATATATATTATATATATATATATATTTATTTATTTAATATAGCTTTGTGGTTAGTCATAAAACAGCAGCCAAATCATTAGGCAAGACCATGCCAGAGATTTGGAATCTATAGCAAATCCCAAATCCACTGGCTAATCATCATATTCCCGTTAGATGCTGCGACTATGAACGTCATGGAGGCCGTAGATTTGGAAGTATACGCGGCAACAGGGGCATAGAAGAATGCATCTATATAAAAAGAATTATACACATTATTTGAGAATAGGCAACATGGGGATGTTACCCAACAAGAAAGTTATGTGAGCCACTAATTATCCCGGGTGTGGGGGGGAGAAAGAGGACAATGGTGGTGTTAATTAATATTGATGATGATGTTGATGATGATGGTGATGTTGATGTGATGATGATGATGATGATGATGATCATGGTGATGAGGGCAATAATGATGATGGTGATGAGGACGGTAATGATGATGGTGATGATGCTGATGCTGATGCTGATGATGATGATGATGGTGATGAGGACAATAATGATGATGGTGATGAGGACAATAATGATGATGGTGATGAGGACAATAATGATGATGGTGAAGATAACGGTGATGATGATGAAGTTGATGATGACGATGATGATGATGATGGTGATGATAACGGTGATGATGATGAAGTTGATGATGACGATGATGATGATGATGGTGATGATGATGATGCTGGTGATGATGATGGTGCAGATGATGATGATGAGGATGATGATGATGATGACGATGATGATGATGATGATGATGATGACGATGTTGATGTTGAGGAGGAGGAAAATGATGATGTTGAGGAGGAGGATGTTGAGAAGGAAGACCCATCCCAAGACCGGGAAGCACGCTTTGTGCGAGCCTGCGCAGTCGAAATGCACATGGACATTTTACAAGAGCCATTTTGGGCAGAAATTTGCAGGGAATTGCCCGGACACGGATGATACCACCTCGATTGAACACCGGGCCTTAACTGTTACCGTAACAACCCCTCAGTGAGGCCACACTGTTTGGGGAAAAAACCCTATCCCATCTCATGACATACTAGTTGGTTGAAAACGGTTTCCCAATCCTATGGGTTATCATAATCCCCAGTAAACCAGGTAGTTTTTTATTATCCCCTTTTTAGCAATCAATTCTTACCCAGGTTTTTTCATGGCTCATGTGATGAACCAGTGCTGAAACAGGGATGCTGACCATATCTGACCAACAGCCCGTGAAAACCCACTGTGGGGATGCAAACAGTCGACCATGGGAATAGAGACGATAGTCAGAAACTAGAATCTAGAACTTGGATATGTAGGTCTATGTCTGTAGAGCCATTCAAAACACAGATGCACAGATCCAATGAGCATGATAATTTGCATGAAGAGGTGAGAAACGTGCAAATCTTGAGTATGTAACTTCCAGAGGGTTGGTATCACAGTGGATTTGACCAATCATCTGTCGTCTCACCTGGATCGATTCCTGAAATCAGCATGAATTTGCACATGAATGGTCACCGAACTCTGCCGGAAACCAATGAATCCCACCGTCCTATCTGAAAACTGAAAACACATGAATTTCGTGGTGAAAAACACCTGCATGTTCTGCTTACATCCAAATTTCTTATACTTACTGCACCATTTTGGGTGGGAAACAAAATACCCACCGTCAGTGGGAACATATTCAAGTCTTGACTTGTTTATATAAACCCAAATGATTCGTGATTGAAATCCAATTCTTGGTTCATAAAAGTAGAATTATTCACTGAATACGTCAAAACCCTGGCGCCCGGAACCCTAAAATAGTTGTTTAATCGATGTTTATTCCCCCAATATGCTAATTTCGCAGCTTTTGAACCATCCCCATATCAAGTTGATAAATCACCATACATGTTCTTTAAATCACTTAAAGATTCAGTATACAGTATAGATCACTATAAACCACTACAAATCAGTATAAATCACCATAAAATCTCATTAAAACACCAGAAATCACTATAGATCAGGTTGATTCCCCCTTACCCTTCAGCCGGCCAGTTTCCGTGGACTCCTTTAGGGCTGACTCCGTGGCTCGCAGAACCAAGGACTCCAACCTCCAGAGGCTCCCACTACCCTACATTGGAAAAAATCTGAAAAATATGGGTAAATTTAGTTATGACATGTTATAACGATGTTATAATTTATAATTATGTATAACTTGTTTGAACAATGGAAGCATCTATTAAAACCACAAGTCTCCTTCCTCACAAGGGTATCATTCACTTGCAAGAGCTTGGATCAACTCTGTTTTACAATTGTGTGATGAGAAAACATACATTGATGGATATGAGTAGGATTGTCGTGGAAATATGATGGGTGTATAATTGAGATTTAATGGCATATTACAATCAACCATATTGCATTCCATGACTCATAACCAATCAGTTTATGGGGGCATACATGAACATAATGGGATATATAATAACCAGCAATTATTTTGGTTTTAAACCGGCACTTATACACTTATTGCGTAAGTTACGACCTACCAGATTAATTGTGGGGATATACACGGATGTAACCATAATGCAAATATAACCAGCAATATGACACGGCTTAGTGTTAGTACCAAATAGTGAGATTGACACCAAATACAGGCAACATGCTCTTCTTATGTCGATCAGTTGGTTTGTGGCAGGGAAACAATCACAGGATTTGTTTATTTGCATATATTCATTATGCGATCAATGGATGTTCCCTGGGGGAGATACATTTTCTGAGAAACAACGTTTCTGGGTTTCCGAGTGAACGAGCATGTACATACAGACTTTCGGAATAATGTGAACAATATCGGTGGAGATCATCCCCTCATCGTAGATAAGTTTCACACATCGTTGTTGAATGCCATAATGTGGATGTTTTTGAAAACTGGAGCCCAAACAAAAACATTTGGTTTCCATTGGTTTCCTTCTTAAACAGGTTTAAACATCATCAATTTCGGATAACTTGGGGCCACTTGGGGCCCCCCATCGCTTCGCGCCACTTCGCCTCTGCATGGCATCTTCCACGTCGGCCTGCTGAAATGCTGGTTATGAATCCTCATGTTACATCCCAATCCCCATTGTTTTTTTAATTACTCTCCATCTATTACAATCATATCATATTAATATTATCTCGCTGTTAAAAAACATGTCAAACCAAGTATGTACGATTCACCAGCCTTTCAAAAAAGCATTCAGCAGTGAATTGAAGGCGTCGGATGTCTCCGCCTCGCCTGTGATTCCGAGAGCCTCTTCAGGGTGACTCGTTCGGAACCTCGACGAGACGCGCGTCGGCGTTTGTTGTCACTCACGACGGGTCAGCCACCAATGAAAACATGTGTTGAAATCTACCAGAAGGTTTTGTCTGCCAGCAAACAAGATGGAAATTGACAAATCAACATAAAGAAACATGGAATTTCAACTGATAGAAATACGTTTCAAGAACAAACCATGATGTCGTTTCAACAAATGGGTATAACATGGATAGGGAACGTAACCAGCAACCCTCAATCCTTCCTAGATCCTTCCAAATGTGCGGTTGCGGAGCATATTTCCAAGTAGACATTGCAATGATTGAGGGGTGGAATAGCCAGATCCAGTAGTGAAATGCAAGGTTTCTTCGGTTTACCCTCTGGTAAACTTACAAAAAACGATGGAAAATCACCATTTTCAATGGGTAAATCCACTATAAATCACCATTTTCAATAGCTATGTTAAATTACCAGAGGGTATAACAACGTTTAATATCCGTCCGCCTTCTTGTTTTTTCGGTTTTCTTCGTCGCAGTTTTAGCTCACCATCTCCAGGTTTCCCATCGAAAAACACCAAGAGACTTCTCGGTTGTTCCACAATTTCCACAACGAAATCAGCATCCATGGAGGGCCTTGGTCGGATGGGCAGCACACAACAACGAATGCTGGCGCTGCCAACGGAAGAAATGGGCTACACCAACGGAATTCATTGCTAAGAATGCAGAACATCTATTTACACATATGTATCTATAAATATGTAAATATATATATATATAGTATAGCCTGAAAGTGCAAAGTACTGTAGTGCCTAGACTTGTGGATCTGGGTCTGACCTGTAGAATATGGACCCTAAAATGAATGATAAGTCAGGACGGACCGGTCACTACTCATGTTCATTTTCGCACATTCCATAAGTTTCCAATGATTTCTTGATAGGTGTGGGTCTATCTCTACTTCACCCGCTGGTCTACCCTCGACTGGCTCTCTGGTTGGTCGATTCTTGAGTTGACTATCCCGTTCAGGAATGGTCTATGTTGTGGCCCTGCACTCCATATAACACAATCGATCAAGTTAAGATGTTATCTGCCGCTTTGGAGGCTTTGAGATAGTGACCTATACCATACTTGTGGAAAGGGAATTGTTCATTGGATAGGTACTGTTTTTCACAGCATCATACCTGATTCACGCGCTAGAAAGAGGGATCGTCAGAAATCAAACTGGGATTCTTTGTTTTTGCCTGGTACACTGGAGAGGGTATAGGAATTGCAAAGAAATGAACAAGTGAAGAATCATCAGAAAAGTAGGCTCTCACTTTTCAATCCTTAATGGGACACCCATTCATGTATTCTCCACCATAACGGCCGAAAATTGTAAGAACATAGTATGAAGAAGTCACTAGTGCGAACACAAGATGACAAGTGGAAATGACCTAAGTCCAAATCCAATGAATGCTATGCACGTGCAACTGCGAACAGCTGTTGTTTTGACAAGTGCTGAACGTTAGGCTCAAGGGCCCTAACGGCAACGACAACCACAGATTGTGGCACAATCTTCACATCAGTGGAAAAGGAAAAGCTGCCATGTCACAGCGCCTTATCACTTGATATGGGCTTTCAAATGGAATTGCTGCATTGATATGGAAATTCGCATTGGTCATCCTTGATTCATCATTTCGATCTCAGTACCACAGAGCTCACAGCCATGAATGGGTCTTGGATCTGCGTTGCGCAAATGACCGCAATTCGGGTCTCGATGCCAGCAGTTTCCACGAGGAGCAACGTGGATGAGAAAGGGAATTCGAAAAGAATCAAGTCGCCGATTCTTCTCTTGGATCATTCTGTTCTTTCCTGCTATCACCGCTTCTTTCTCATGCAAGATGCCTTGAAGTTCTTGAATGTACTTGTCATGCCTCTCAGTCTTGCCTTCAGCAATCGCTTGAAGTTCATCAATTGCATTTTCCAAGTGTGAGATGGTTCCCTTGTGCTCTTCAATCTCCAAGTCAGCCACATCAAGTCGTTGACGATACGTTTCAGCTAGGCGGTTGGCTCTAGCTTCTTCTTCAGTTGCAAGATTCCAAAGTTCCCACAGCTCTTGTTTGGACATGATGCTCAAATGAGCATGCTGCAAATCAAACTCTTCAGTGTTGGTTGATTGGTCACGCTTGGAAACTTTCTTCTCACCAAACCAGTTGAAATACCGCCATGTCATGAAAATCAAAATGAATGCAAAAACCACACCAAGCAGATCCGGAAATACTGAGCCAGAAGCAAAATCTGCACCTTCAGTCAATGCCACGCCACTTGTGATCCTCGCCAGAAAAACAAATGTTGCCAGTTGATGCTTCGACTGGGCAAATCTGCGTGAGCTGGCTTTTCGCTCTTCTTGGGTCTTTCGCTTGGCTGCCACAAAGCTCTCATCAGCAGTCAGTCTGATCATATGTGTCCTAAGACGATCAGCCAGCAATTGTCGGGCGCCAATCTTGGTGAGCCCGTCAGAATACTGGACCTCGCTGCTAACCCAGCGAACTGTGGTGTTGCACTCTTTCATCTTCTCTTTGACAATCATGGCCTCAATCTTGGTGCGCTTGTCGCCTTGCAACTGTGGGGTCTCAGCACGCAGACAGTCATAGAGCGCCTTGGCGTCGATGACCAGCGCTGATTGCAAGATTTTGCCAACTTCACCATGGTCCTGCAGTGTGAAGGTGGGACTCATACATCCCTGCCAGAAAATCATCAGATACTCTAGGGCATCCATTGCCCCAGCGCAAGCTTGGGCCTCTGAATTGAGTGAGGAACGGCTCACCCTGGGCAATCTGTAGCTGCGCCAGTCAAGGACAATGTATTCACTGGCTTCTCCACGAAGAACTTTGGGATGTGAGAGCAAAACAAGATAACCCCCTTGGCTTTGGAGATCTTTTCGCACGCCCCATGCAGCATCAGACATCGCGATCATCACCGCATCTTCAGGCTTGCAAAGCTTGGGAAACTTCAGAGAAACATCGCTGTTTTCTTTGGCAAACTTGAGGGCCTTGTTGGCCTGCCGCAAAGTGCCAATTGTGGCCTTGCTGGTCTCGCCGCAAAGCAAGGAAACTGAAGCACTCAGGTGTGGACATGTCTGGGTAAACGGCCACTGAAGCCCACCAAGAAGCCCTCGAAGAGATGAGATCTCTTTGGCCCCGACAGGAGAATCTTCGGATCTCTGTGGTGGCACGGTCAAAGGGTGAACCTTCTTGATGTACTGCGCTTGATGCAAAATCCAAACGCCATCTTTCTGATCCAGCATGCATCCACAAAACTCCAGTGGCTTGCCATCCTCATATGGTGTCCAGTGCTTGAAAGAAAACTGTTCTCGAAGTTCATGACGTGCTTTCTGAAATTCCACATTGGATTCATCGCCTGCGATCAGCAGATCATCCACATGAAGTCCAACAAGAGAAATCAATTGACCTTGTTGGCTGTAGAGTCTGAAAAGACATCCATCCAGTGGGTGAACTTGAAAACCAATGTGCTCAAGTCTCCTCTTCGCAACCATGTACCAGGCTCTTGGTGCGTCTGGTTGCCCATAAAGTGGTTTCACCAATTTCATCAGGGAGCCATGAGGCACATTGAGGATGTCACATGCATCCTTGGGAAGTCTCGCCCACAACTCACGTAGCTGTGGATCTCCTTGAAGGAAAGCTGTTGTGACGTCAGCCACAGTAGCTGACCATCCCAAAAGACTCATCAGAGCCAGCATGATCTGCCTGGAAGATCGGCCAAGAGTTGGTGAAGAAGTGTCCAACTCTCCGTTCAACAAATCTGGGTCTGAGAACCCTTGAAGTACCAGACGGGCTTTTGCACGTAGTCCGCCTTTTCCATCACCAGCCCACTTCAGCACAAAGCGTGCCTTCATGACACGACTGGGATCAACAGAGTCTGGCTTGGATTCCAAATGCCAAACACCATTTTCGAAGATGGAACTCAATTCCGCCTTCTTGCCCTCAAGAAACTTCAGTCTGTCCTCCAACTTCATCTTTGACTCCTTGAGGTCAGCATCGTTGTCCTTCTTCTTCTTGTTGGCGAGAGTGGCCAACCAAGTGGTCTCATCGATTTCACCACCAGCCTTCTTTAGCTTGTGGACCTTCTTGTCGATGTTGAAGAAGGGCTGCTGAAACTGAGCTGAAGCTTCCTTGGTCAGAGGGAACATGGTTGTCCCAAGCCAGCCATCAGAGTTGACATTGGTCGACTCGGCTGAAATCTTCTCCAGCATTGGCTTGCCCATATTGGCATCAGGGTTGGTGATCTTGTACTTCTGCAGTGAGCTGATCGGGATCGGCATACTCTGCAGGGTCTCACGGTCGAAGGAAAATGTCGACGACCGCCCACAAACATGATGCCGCACCAAAAATCCATGTTCCAAACTCCAGAAGTCCTGAGTCTCACCGAGCTTGAACTCGTTGAGCTTGTGGTCATAAGTCCATCCGCTCGGCAGCCATGACTGCATGCCATCTGGGGCAGTCTTGTCCTCCAAGTTGAAGACATCAATGCTAAAGGCTTGCTCTTGAGTGGTCTTCTGTCGCTTGGGATTGGTGGCTTGTTGTTGATCATCATGTTTCTGCTTGAAGGCAGGGTGCCGCAGAAAATCTGTCTCGTGTAGATCCATTCGCTGACGCCGCTGGGCAAATGTCTCAGGCTGTTGTGGTGCCTGAGGGGCTGCAGCAGCAGTGCTCGCTGGTTGATCTTGTTGTGGATGTTGGTCTTCCATCTCTTCCTCAGCCGCTGATTCAAAGTCCTCAGGGACAGGAGGCGAATCTTCATTTCTGACTGCCTCGGGCTGCTCAGGAGGTGGTACTTCTTGTGGTGGATCTTGAAGTGCATCTTCAAAGTCCATGTCATCATTCATGGGTGTGCCTGGAGTGTATTCTTCATCTGCTGCACCAGGCTGTTCTGCCTGAGGTATCTCCCTGGCAGGTGCTGGATGAACACGCATCTTCACATCATCTGCCTTCGCAGGTGATGCACCATCTTCAGTGTTGTCCAAGTCCTCATGAGGGTCCAACTCGTCGATCTGATGACGATTGACCTTGTCCAAGTCCAGCATCCGCACCACTCGTCGCTGACGAAGTGCTTGAAGTGCTTCTTCTGAGGAAGCCATTCGCCCTTCACTGTCCAGAAGGCGCTTGACATGTTGTCGGCCAGCTCGAATCAGAACTGTGCCATGGGCCAGCCAATAGCATGCCACTTGTCCAGAATCTGGATCTCGCTGAACTGCTACCACAATGGCTGGGCCACGCCAGCGAATGGTGTGGAACTTGTTGTCGGACTCCCGCCAGTAGAGGCAGCGTTCGCCAGGAGAAAGATCAGCTTCCATGCCACGGAATTGCCTGAGCAATGATCGCCGCAGCTTGACATCTATGTCTGCCTTGACACAGGCCATCTGAGCACTGGCACGCTTCTGCAGGGTCTGTCGCATCTGCTCCTCCTCTGACAACTGAGTTGGTTGAGTCCGCTCATCAGAGACCAAACCAGGGATGTTGGGCTGACGACCCAAGGCAAGTTGAACAGGAGTGAAGCCATTCACGAAGGTGTGCTGGTTCAATGCCGGCACGACCCAACATAGAGCTTCTTGGATTCCATCAACTCCTTGTAGGCCTTGATCTTCAAGATACATTTGGATCGCTCGCCGCAACAACTGATGTCGGCGTTCCACCAGGCTGGTTCTGGCATGAGCTTGACCAGGAGAGATCTGGACCTCAATGGAATGCTGTTCTGCCCATGTGGAGACGGCATCACTTCCCCATCCAGCAGCTTCATCAACCTTCAAAATGCACATGGGGCCATAGTGTCGCACCCAAGCTCTCTCAACTGCAATGGTGAAGTTCTTGCCCTTCTCATCATGGATCAAACGAGCAGCCATGAAGCGTGTGGCTTCATCAACCATGGACAGGATTGCTACCTTCTTCTTGCCATTCTCTACCCACAACGTGTCAGCCTGCACTGCCTCTCCAAAACGAGTGGCTCTTTCCAGATGTGCAGGGGACAACGTCTTCTTGGCACCAAAACGACTACACTGTTGACACTGCAATGATTGCACCGCACGCTTGACCTTGTCGCTGGCGCCCTTCTCCTCCAAAATCTTGAGAAGGACCTCTTTGCGAGGGTGACCAAGATTGCGATGCAGCTTGATCGCAACTCGTGCTGGTCCATCGCCATGTTCAGCAGCCAACTGCCGCAAAACGCCAGCATGCTGCGCATCAGCATCATCAGCCGCATACACCTGATCATCCAAAGTCTCCTCGGCCATCATGCCTTGGACAAAGTGCTGGGCCAAGGTCAGGCAGTAGTCTTCAGCCGCCCGACATCTGGAAATGCTGGTGCCAGGAATGCGACCTTCCAGTGGCTGATGATCATGAGTTCGGTCACAGCGCCTTGACATTCTCATTGCCATAGCATGCTTGGTGGTGTGCAATGCAGTGGATTTTCTGATGAATGCATCATAGCCATTGTCATCTGTGGTGGTTGCTCCATAGGCACACTGATCAAAAACTGCATGATACCCAGGCAAGGTCTTGAAGGCTGAAGTTGACCATGCCTTGCTGCGCTCAGGGTGCTCGATGTGAGCATGTTGGCCACGTCGAACTTGTCCAAGATAGAGTCGACGGCACATCTTCAAATGGGTGTCGTGATCCAATTCACGTTCACTCTGCAGCAATTGGGCATCCTGCTCATTCTTGATGTTGATATTCTGCATGGGTGACCACAACGTGCACCTGGGTGACATGAAGATCTCGTCCGGCTCATCTTGGGCCGCTTTCTGAATCAGAGCTCGACGATGACTGGATTTTGAGAAGTCCCAGCCATCCAGGAGTCCAAAGCGCTCCACTCGTGCTCCAGCTTGCTGTGCACATTCAGTGATTCGTCCAGCTCCTGCATAAACTTCCCAGATCAACTTGGTCTTTGCCGGTGCTCCATCGCGAGCCATAGCCACAAGTCCATTGACTTCACGTCGAACTTCTTTGGCTTGTTGTTCCGCCAGATTGAGGATCCGCGACTTCAAAGGCTCGTTGAGCTCACGGCACAAATAAAAGTCCTCAGCCATGACAACCTGCTCATCTCCAGCGGCGTCGATGGTATCAGGGACCTGGAAGGTGTCAGAGACCTGGGAGGTGTCAAGAACCTGGAAGTTGTCAGAAACTTCCTTGGAGGCAGAAACGTTGATATAGTTCTTCACCCAATCATGCAATTCTGCATAACGTTTGTGGGCCTGCATGTCTTTGAGATATGCAGAGAAATTCTCCACCTCATCATGGTCATCCTCTTCACAAACCAAATCAAAAGTGGGGTCCGCCAACTGAGCTGCATGCTTGACATTTTCGGCTAAGCGCGAGAGCATTGCGCCATGCTTGCCCTTCGTGATCTCCTGCCAGTCACCGCCCATCAGCTTCATGCGACGACCTCCAAAATCCACGACCGCTTCCAAAAGCTCCAAGACTGGTCTGCCAAGAAGCATGGGTGTGGATCCAAAAATCACAAAACATTGGATGCGTCCGACAGAACCTCCCAAATTGACTGGAAGCTGAGCCATCCAACCACTGTGGCCTTCGGCATCGCCACCAAACTTGAAGTTCTTGTCACATCGCTTGAAGGGAATGGTGTCAACTGGATAGCCAATCTGCTCAAGCCAGCTGATGTAGCGTAGGAGGTACTCTGAGCCAACAAGGAAAGTGGATGCACCGCCATCTTGGATGCATGCATCAGGGTCTTTCGTCAGCCAGTCCTTGTCCTCAGAGATCAACTTGGGCATAGCCATCGCCACCATGCCATCATCAGCGTCAGCAGGACGCTTCTTGCTTGGAGAGGGAGTACTCGCTGACTTGTGTGGACATGAAGCTGCATAGTGACCAGTGCCACCGCAACGCAAACAAACTATGTTCTTGAAATAGTCTTGACCACGTTGCTTGGCAGTCCCCTTCCCCTTCGGTGGATTGGAGAAGTTGGAGGGTTTTCCTTTCCCCTTTTTCCCCTTGGAGGATTTCGAACTGCCCTTTGGTGAAATCGGTCCTTGTGCAACAACTGGATTGGCACCTGCAGGAAACTGTCCACCTGTCAAAGCAACGACAGGATAGAAACCTCTGGCAGTGCGGATCGCGTTGATCTTCTTCTTCGCGTCCACATAGGCTGCATAAGCCACATCATACTCTGTCACGTCAAAGAGAGTTTCCTCTGCAGTATCTTCGCCATAGTAGGCCGCCTCAGCATCGAAGTCTCCGGCATAAGACTGATCCTCGGCGCCCTCATCAGCGGCGTCCCAATCCCAGTCCTCATATTCAGCATCATCAGCCGCATAGGCATGATCATCTCCCCATTCTGAGTCCTCAGCAAAGTGAACTCGATCTTGTCGCCATCGGCGCATTGGGCTACCTTGGTGTCTCGGGCCAGAGCTGCCCATCACATGATCCTGGCCCAAAGTCAGATAGAGAGCCTTCTCCACATCAGCCACCTTGGTCTTCACACCCACGGTGGTCTGCACTAGCTGCCGCTGCTCTCGGGTGAGACCAGCTCGTCTCATCAGAAGCCAGCCCGCCACCTCATCAGGGATGACGATCTGGTACTTGGTCAGATCCCTCAGCGCCTGAGCCGCTTCAGTGCAGTAAGTCAGCATGGTCTGTCCTTGCTGCCGACTTGTTTTGTAAAAATACTTCTCAAAGGCTTCTGGCATCTCTATCTTCTCATCATACTGCCATTGCTTGTCTAGACGTTCCAAAATGGTCTGCAGACCGGTCTCCTTCTCTAAGTCTGCTAAGTCTAGATCTTCACATTGCCGCCAACTCGCTCCAGTGAGCGTGGAAAGCACATTCAGCCCAGTCTCCTTCGATCGGTTCTGCATGTCCATTCGTCGGCCATACAGCATCACACGTTTTCGCCATTCTTTGTAGTTTGCAGTGGTATTGTCAAACTTCGGGATGTAGTTGTCCTTCAGGACGCTGGATTCCTGAGAACTTCCCTGGGCAGTGCTTCCATCCATGGCTTAGGCAACAGTTGGAGCTAGGCTCCGCTACCAATATGAAGAAGTCACTAGTGCGAACACAAGATGACAAGTGGAAATGACCTAAGTCCAAATCCAATGAATGCTATGCACGTGCAACTGCGAACAGCTGTTGTTTTGACAAGTGCTGAACGTTAGGCTCAAGGGCCCTAACGGCAACGACAACCACAGATTGTGGCACAATCTTCACACATAGATAAAAAAAACTCATTTTTTTGGTGTAAATGATGCATTGTAATCGCTGAGGGTGCATCAGAAATATATCGTGCAGTAGGTGAATTTCCCACCAAGATGGGTTTCCCCATGTTTGTGAGGGTGCAATCTATACCACCCCATCGATAACAGCCAATCTTTGTTGGAAAATACACAACGACACTGGCTACCATGAGGGACTTTCCATGGTGCAGGTATACATCATAGAGAAATAAACAATAGACAACCAGGTTATCAAAAAGTGCAATCAAACATCAGGAGATTGACTGTTGCGAACTCCATGTCTTCCATAGTTTACCACGTTTCACCACCAAACACCAGGGGTCACTATACTTCCTCCAAAACCATCATACTTGCTTCGGGTAGCATATTAATATATATATATATATGGATAAGTTATAATCACCCATCCGACTGAAATCAGACTTGTCAGTGATAGATACACATTTTGAGTGATGTCCCAGTGAAGCTGCAGCTTGTTTCATTCAGATTTGTGATGATTATGAAAATCCCATGATATTCCCTATTATATAATCATATGGGATATATCCCAAATGTTCTATCATATCCCCATTATCACCCCAGTGTTATAGGTAGGATATCATCATTATTATAAAAATGGTTTGTGTTTTTAATCCACCCCAAACATATTAATTCTTTCGACTAATCATCCCAACTATGGTTTACACAATTAGTTTAAATACTTGAAACCACCAAATAACAGCCCCCACGGTTTATATCATCCATGTATCAAAATGGTGATATTAGGGATGGTTAATGGCATTTTATGGTGGCTAGGCCACATGATAAGCCCATGGATTTTTGGATACCCTCTAGTAAACTAACATAGCCATGAAAAATGACCTATAAATGGCCTATTTATAGTTGAGTTAACCTCTGGTTATTTAACATAGCCATGGAAAATGGCCCATTTATAGACGATTTTCCCAGCTATAAACCTCCATTTATGGTTGGGATTTTCCATGGCTATGTTAGTCATCACCAGATGGTACCTGTTCAACCTGGTGATTTTCCACTTCGCAAACTGCAAACGTTTACCAGATCCGCACAGAATTTCACCAGCCGAGGTGCCCTGCCATCCCACCGACCTTCCCTGCCCTCTGCTCGCTGTTGCGTGGATGGCCAGTGAGGTCAGATTGCAACTGATCCTGGGCTGATCTTCATGGAGAAATTGAGGATGTTATCTGGTTGGTGGTGCTATAATAACCATCTTGAAACATATAAAAGTCAATGGGAAGGATTATCCCATATATATATATTATGGAAAAACATGTTTGAAAACAACAACCAGTTATGATATGTTATGTGAATTTATTGGATTTGACCATCAGAAATTGGAATTTCATTCGATTTGAATCAAATAACAAAGCATCGTTGGGTGATTTAATGCTTCTAATCACGGTTAAATATAGTTCTCATAAGTTACGATACACTCCTATAAATATGGCAATATAGTCGTGCAAATGAAGAGGAACTGCACTGCTCAGAATCTTTAAGATCCGACTGCAGATTGAAAACTCAATGAAAAATCATCAAGTCCAAGTTTTTGGATAAAAAGTTTGGGTCAAACTTTAGCAACTTTAGATTGATACTTTATTTACTAAAGTTTGACCCCTTCTTTGATAAACATATATAAAAATACGGATGCGGGGATCAATTTTGCCCAGGTTGGTATCCAACCGATCCGAAGATCTGCATTTGTGGCAAGAACGTTTACAAGCAAGAATGGAGATGTAACCATTCAAAATTCGAAATAAACAAGAGAAAACGGCAGTTATATAACCTCTGGGACTCAAACTTTTACATTGCCAGCCCGTGACAAATGTGGCTGGCTCAAATCATCAGACCCCCCAAAAATGGAGAGTTTCACCTTAGACACTAAAAAACACCAACACCTCTTTCAGCCATTTCCATGCAGCCTGGTGATCGAAGGTTCCTGGTGGGTTGGATTAGCTACTGGAATTCAATTTACATAGTGAATCTCCGGCAGCCATGGCCATTTCAATCACTTGGGGGTAGGATCATCAACTCATTGGTTCATTTCTACCCAGGAAAAAAAGCAGTAGATTGGATGAGATTCGGTGGAGTGTCACCATCTACAAACCATCTATCAACTCTATCAACCATAGACCACTCTTGTTTACCAGTACTAATCCCCATCCCCCATCCATGTGAAACAACCTTATATGGGCCATCAAAATGGATAGATCAATACACCTCAGTAAAACGGCCAAATCTGCAACTGAGCATCGATTCGCTGATGGATCTCCTGAATCTGTCAGGCATGTGCAACGCGCAACGCAAACACAACTCGCAGCCATGTGCCCGGCTGGAAACCATGGCAATTTATTAGCTATGACTGATAGATTGATAGTGGAAATGAACAGGGGTTTTATGTTTTTTTGGGAGTTCCGTTTTGAACCACCCATTTTTGTCAAACATATTTCGTCACCACTGATTGTCTGAGAAAATGGTTGGCAACGCTTGGTCGCTAACTGGTGTGGAGAGCAGTTGGCTTTACCACAAACCAACATCTGTGGGGTCTGCACCTCTTGCCATATTCATATACTCATTGTGCATTGGCTATCATTGTTTTTGCTGGTGCCAATGCGTCGCTGTTTTGTCGGTGCCAGTAGCCCCCCTTAAAGGCACCCATAAGGCACAGGTGTTGGTGGCAAATGATCCCTCAACATGGAATCCATAATCATCTATCATCTGGTTGGGAAACTCATTAGTAGCTCCTTAGTGCACCATTTAAATCATTTAACAGGAAATATTGTGGAATAATATATATATACATATAATATATTATATATATACAGTAAATATATATATATATAGATACCCCTCGCCCCACCCCGAACTGCTCCGAACCGCCCCAGACTTTTGGGATCGAGGTCAACCAACATGAACGTGCGTCTCCCCAGCATGTAACAATGATGCGACCCCCCTAATTAGTGAATCCACTCTCTGGCACCTAGATTCTTTTGGTGGTATTCATTTAGTATCGCTCCCTTTTACTTTTAATTGGGGCTACAACTTTCAAGGTTATTGCTGATCCTTCCCTATCGTATTCCTTCTTTGATTAATTACTCACCACTTCATGGATACTAATTCCAACCTGCTTTCTGAATTTGAACCCTCATGGATGCTCATATCCAGCTAATTTCGTCAAAATCGATCCCATGCGACCCTTTATGGATGCTAATTCCAACCTGATTTCATCAAATTTGATCCCTCATAGAGGCTACTATGCAGCTAAATCCGGCACTTCATTGGTGCTTCTATGCACCTATTTCCAGCAACATTGTTTCATCATCCGTGCTTGTAGCACTTTTCCCTTGAAGCGATCCTTGATGCATGGAATCTATCACAGCTTTTCAGCCTGGCAAGTTTCCAAATCCTTGAAGCTGCAAGGTGTCTGGTGAAAAATCTGCTTCTCCAGCTTCGCTTCCGACAAATTCGATGTGGAGGTTGATTCTTTTGGGGTAGTGTTTTTAACCTCGGGATCTTGTTGACCTTGTTGACCTTGGGAGGGTTCATCCGGGGTAGCCTCCAGGGTAGCCATTAAGCATAACTAGTCCACCAAGGCTCCGCAAAGTGGTTCTGAAAACATCTCTGCAGCTCAATCTGCTCTGCTTGAAGCCTGACCACAGATCTTGCTGGCGGCATGGAAAGAAAACAGATTGGAAAACCGGAACTAACTGCTCCAAAAATTGATTGGCTGCCAAATTCATGAGCATTCCTGGATGGTTCAAAAGTTGAACCAAGAATCCAAGAATTGGTGGAACCGAAGAATTAGCTGGAAACGCGCATGTTGCATCTTTGGCTGGGAAAAATGCTTGGTGGTTTCATCCTGGAAAAACATGCCGGGTCATCGGGGTCATCGGGGTCATCTGTGGGGAAACCCCACAGATGTGACCATCACTCAGAATCCATAGAATCCACGTGGATATGGTCATTTGAATTGGAGTAGTTCTAATATATCAATTATAATTGTGTTATGGTCATTGATTAGTTCCAATATTCATTATGTTAACATATGTTAACCCCTTGGTATTTATGATGTGCTTTGAAACAAAATTCCCGCAACGAATGGACACTGGGTTGACTCCAGGGAAAATGTATGGGCAACACTTTTTTTGCTAAGGAATATTGAGGCTACCTGCCAAGTTTCCCTTGAACCAATTCTGAAAGATATAGGATGACATGAATATATGGGCACAAGCAAAAGATCAAAAACAAGGAGAACCAAATAGTTGGTTCCGCAAGTGGTGTCGCAAGCTCTGTTTCTATGTGCTGGTGGGCCAATTTGTATGGAGTGACCATAAATCTGAATGCAATTGTGTGAGCCCTTGACAAAAGAGCCTGTACTGGCCAATGGGCAAGGTTCCCCTGTAGGATGCGCTAGGTTTAGTTAATTGTTCAACCAGCATATGCATATCTGGGAGCCCTCCCAAATAATATATGTATAATTATATATATATATATGTGTGTGTGTGCGTTTTCCATGTATGTTTTTCCTTCGTTCAGGGTTGACACACTTTTTCTGTACATCATTAAGGATGTGTCAAATTGATTAAGAGCCCGACCTACCCAACCCAAATACAGTCTGTTAACACACGTGAAGGTTTCTATTTGTATATTTTAGCATTTGTTTGGCGAATTGTTGCGTAGCCAAAGTCAATAAAGTTGAGATTTTTTTTCTCCAGCAAATGCGATTTATGTTCAATCAAAATGAAGCAGGCGCATACCGAATGTTGACAATTTGGTTTCCAGTCATTGTGAGAAAAAACCACGCAAAGTTGAACATACAACTATAAACAACATGTCATTACAAGTAACACGGCAGGTGACTGAACAATCTTGACGTTTGGGTTCCCAGGTGCACAATCCCAATGTAAGCAATGGATGTCCCTTACATTGAGGATGTGACATTCCCAGCTTAGACCCTAAAAATATGGAGAATTTAAAGATCGATCCCTTAAAAACGAAAACACACACCACGTGCTGCCACAAAACTCGTCTTGTTTGTGCATGACTCTCATCATGTTGTACTTGATGAATCCTTGGTATCCGGTGACCATGAGTTATCCGCTCGTGGTCAAGGGCAACGTTGGAACCCCCAAAGTTGTTTGTATAATATATATATATATATTGAAGCTGCATCCCATTTGGTAGATGGTTACAATTACAATACATTTTCTTGTTCTTGGTTCTTATAACTTGTAACCCACAAAAATGTCTGGGATAAATCTGTGTTTTCCACACATTTCTGTCTTGGAAACACTTGCCACTCCTGGGTCCGTCCTCGCTGGGTAGGAAAATGTTGGGGGTGTCTGAATATGGGCGCGCGTTCGCTTCGGTCTTATTTTTCAATCGCTTTGGTCGCATACTTGCATCGCTTCGGTCCCTTTTTTCTAATCGCTTTGGCCGTAAAGTAGACATTCCTTCCTCTAGTAAGAGGTAACCCTAGACGTGTGTTTTGGATGCATCACCTGGAAGTTTGTGACCAATGTGCTGTAAATTTATGATCACGGTGACCATCTTTCGTCGAACACATTGATTTATGTCCAAAGTGATGGAGATGTCTGACCAAAGTGATCTCCCTGCCGCTGATGGGGTACTCCAAACTGGCTTTAGTGATAGTGGGTGAATCATCATTTTTCCACTATGAAAGTAGCCATTTATGGGGACCCTGTATTTTCAGGCAAAGCCATGTTATGCGAAGTCGCGAAGCTATTTCAACCATCAGATTTCACGGAAATTTCTGCGTCGGATCGCCCAGGAATTTTCCATCGATGATCTATTTACCTATACCTAAGCCATTTCGCCAGGTAAGAGTAGATAGAACAAATTATTATGTTGGTACATATTACTGGGACATACTTCCGAAATATATAATATGCTGGGAACATCTAGATTATATTGTGTATATATGTACATATGGTTTTTATGTTGGTACGCCATTACTGGCAGCTCAAATTTCGGTCTGGTGGTCATGACTAGGGAGTCCTGCAGAAGCTGAGGCGCGACATGGCGCGACCATCGACAGCCGCAATTAATGGTTGATAATGGTTGATCATAGTTAATAATGGGAAAATAAACACCAATAGTGGATGAATAATGGATAATTAATTGGAATGTACCTTATGGTTATTTAACACAGCTATGCAAAATGGCCCATTTCAAGATGATTTATCATTTATTTATTTTATTGTTGGCTTCAAGACATCTTTGTGAAATGTCAAATCGGTTGAGCATACTGAGTATGGTTGAGAAATGTTGATGGTTGGAACCACCAACCAGGCAATTTTCAATGGTAATTTCAGGATCCTAAAATGGAGGTACTGTACCATATAAGGCCATATGTTCTGGGGATATTTCCTTACATAGGCCTGAAAGATAGGCCTTATATATGGTAGGTACCTCCAATCAATCGGTTCCTGAAATGGCCATTGAACTTTGTAGATGATGAAAACTGTTCGATACTGAGGATTTCCCATCGGGTGACAGGGTTGGTGACTCCAATTGCTTGCGCTTTTTGTTGATGTCAAGATGTATTGGCGAAATCTGCTTGGCCACATGGGTATCATATCTTCAGCTTCCTTAGGTTCTATCAAATTCATTCAGGTTCTGCCCTTGAGTGTTTATCCTTTTCTTAGCAATAAACCATCAATTGTCCATTTGTTTGTCATTTATTGACGACTAAATCACTTAACTCATGTTCCGTTTTTCCCACACGGCTCAAAATTGTTGAGCCCCAAAACTGGATGGTGAACAACTAAACACGACCAGCTTTTTTGGGGCCCCTCCATCCCTCCCCTATTTTGAGCCACACCCACATTTAAAATCATTTACACCTATGTAGCACCCCCGCAAAATAGACTACCATCTGGTTATTTAACATAGCCATGGTATAGATGGCCCATTTATAGATGGTTTACCTATTAAAAATGGGTGGATCTTTCCATGGCGAACTGTTAAATAACCAGAGGGTACCTGTTCAATCCTAAAGTAGTGATGAATTACCAATTTTGGACCATTTTTGCGGCGCTACTAACGGGCCCAGTTCTTCAAATTGACCAATTTTTTTAGAAAATTACCCGGCCTGGTAAACATTCACAGTTTGCGAACTGGAACATGGCCATAGAAATAGTGGATTTACCCATTGAAAATGGTGGTTTTCCAGTTCGTTATGTTAGTTTACCAGAGGGTAATCCTCCATTTTCCCATGGATTTTCTTATGGTTTTCCCATTTTCCCATGGGTTTTCCCATGGATTACGCGGTGGTGGGGAATCCCAGAAACACCGAGCGACGCGGTGCCGTTTTGGAGTCGCGGACCCATCGGCTCAGGGGCCGAATGAACTCATTCTGTTCGATGGCACCAGAAGTGTCCTGGAAGCCAGGGGATGCTAATTTTGATTTATGACTGGTTTTCATCATCAATATGGATATTAATGATTATAATGATTAATAAATTAAATCAACTATATGATCTGGTTGGTGGTTTTACAGTTTTAACATGTTTTAACATGTTTTAACCATCTTGAAAAATGATGGAGTTCGTCAATGAGAAGGATGACATCCCATATATGAAATGGAAAAAAAAAACGTTTGAAACCACCAGCCAGTGATAATGATTAGTTTACCATAGTTTACCCGGTTTCCATGGGTTCTTTATGGTTCTGGAATATGGGATCAAGTAGGGTTTACCGCTGGGTACTGCCCATGATAAACCTCATAAATGGGTACTTGATTTGCAAGATGGGGTACGTTTTTTTCTTATATCGGTAGTTTACCCAGTTCTCAATGGGATATACCATGGGATGTACCCAAATGCAATACACGAATTGCAGACCACCTACATTTCCTGAGATGCACATCCAAGTAACATGAAAAATTGCTGGGTGTCACCCAAATAAGGATGTCTGACTGAACAGCAAGGGGGTGTTGAAAATCAAAGACTGCTGATTGTAGACAAGCAATAATGGGGGATTGACCAACACCTATATGTTTTGACAAATACATTTCAGTGGTTTAAACCAGACCAAAGGGTTCGCACAAGAAAAAAAAGGGTGGTGATCCAGGCCAGATCTAGTTTTTGCGGGTAGTTTTAACCAAACAGGAATGGAAATTGAACAATAGCAACAGCAACAACAACAACATGTTCAAGCAGCAGTCGTAGCAATTGCAAATTTGACAGTTTCGCATCTGGAAATCCGGGCCATTTGAGTGGATCATCTACCTATAACGTCTAGGATACAAGGTGGGCCCCACCAAATAGCTAAGTTGCTTTATGACTTTTAAAACTGGGTTAACTAGGATTTATAGTGACAAATCTATAGTTCATGGTGTTTACCAGTAGTACCGCACAAGGCGGTGGCCGAAGTTGCAAAGATAGGAAACCTATAGGAAAGGTTTGGTTGTTGTGATGCATAGATGGCAGAGCGAATCCACTGATGGACCGAAAGGTGGTTGGAGTTGTACTTTTTCGAGTGGTTGCAGTGGTCACCTCAACCACAACTGCTGGATGTACTGTGGTGTAGTGTCGTGTAGGTGTCTGCCTCAGAGATGATCAATTCCTCTTGGATACGGCGCTTTGTTGGGTTCCATATGTTCCATGTTAAATTTAGGGCACCTAACCCCCCAAGACAAAACTCCAACTTAGGCTTGCAACAATTCAGGATTCAATTTGGACCGTTCAACCGAAACAAAAGCCACAACTGGTAGCTGAGAAGACTTTTGACTTGACATTTCGTCAACTGATAAGCAGATTGATGATTAATTTATGCTAATCTTACTCTGCATCTGTCCATATGGTCGGAAGTTTGACTTCAAAACTTCCTTTGATAAAGCTCAATCAACCGATTATTCCCCTGCTATTTCCATATCATTTCCCTATAATTTCCATATGATTTCCCGATAATTTCCCTATTATGTCCCCATAATCAAGCAACCAACATGGAAGCGACTTCCCGGTCCGTGTCAATCATCTCAAAAAGTTGGACCAAGTCCATCTGCAGGGGCAGCTCCAGGGGTATCAAGGGACATTAAGGTTTCTTTGAGGAATATAAAAGGAATATTAAAGGATATTGACCACCAAATATGGCTATCTCATGATATCTCTGAATATTGGAGATCAAGAGAGCTCAAGGGATATTCTACGGATTATTCAGGGAGATTCTTTGGATGTTAAGGGATCTTCACCACCAAGTCATGCTGCGTTCAATGGGTGTATCCCCCACGAAACCCTGAACCGAGACCCTGAACCGAACAGAGCTGGGAGACTGGGAGACTGGGAGACTGGGGGTTGGGCGCGTCCCATCTGCATGTACTGCATATCTCCAAATATATATAATATATATATATATATATATGTGTGTATATATATATATATAATGGTTTAAATTGTTGCCCCTTCTCAGTGCTAAAGTGCTAAAGTGCTAAACATACTTATTCACAAAAAAAACTTTTGGGAATCTGGCAAGTCTTCACACATTTCTCTTGCTGAGAGGTCTATGGTTATGGCTTCTGCCGTCATCTTCAGTAGATACACAATACACAATACACATAAAATCCATGTCCCAATACGTTCACGGTGTGAAAGAAACATGTCCACAATTCGATTGAGTATCCATGTTCTTGGATCAGCCACATGACTTTTGTTCAATGGATATATAATTCAAGGAACAATTTACGGGACACTTCTGAGTTTCATGGTGCACACCACCCTTATCCCATTGCTCATTTGAATTGTCCGTTCATCCACTACAGCAATCTCCATTGATTATCCCAAATCACCAATACCATTAATATTCCATTGGTATCCCAATCTACCCATATATATATATTACAGCATTAATCAAATCATATATTGTCAATTTGTATTGCTCACGTTCGCAATTATCCATTAATTGCCCGTGAAATTTCAACAGACCAACCCTCATATCAAACGACGTGCCGTGCCTCATCAATATCCATGACCTTGAGTCGACTCTGGAACTCTGCGTCCGTCCGTGCCCCCTTGGTCAAGTGACCAGCGATGACAGGTTTTGTGCGGAGATGGGGAAAGATTGGGATGTGTCACCAGCAGACCATGTGGATGTGAGAATATACGTGTATCTAAAGGTTTCTGTCTGTCTGTCTATCTATCTAATTTTGTATGTGATATGTATTGTGTATCAACTATAGCATGGGGTGATTTTAAAAAATATACCATATTCTACATATGAAATCTGAATTTCCATAGGATGGGGAGGAAACTTTTGTAATGCATGGATTTGACTAAGAACAACTATATAAGGAGAAAATAGGAGAAACCGGTATTACCAGCAGTCACTTGTGTCCCACAAAGATGGCGATATGACAAAGAGGCATCGATGACACAGTTCTAAATTGGTTTATAGGCCCCCCTGAATTGTTGGTATATCTACCATAAAACATCATAAAACCTTAGTCAGTTCTAAACCAACTTGGCTAACTATGGGTTTTGTCTTGGTACCTTTTCGAACATCGACAAACCATCTTTCGAAAACATTTCGATGAGGTTTCAGCACAACTTCGAGACTTCGTAGTCAGTTTGCCCGATCAACCAATATATTGCGGGCAGGAAATTTCAATGTCCCATCTATAGAGCCTATGTTGTTTAGATATCAGATAGACCCTTTGTTGTTAAATTTTCATGTTTATTACTACAATTTTAAACAACATGAGGATTGATAGTTGGATATCACCAGGTTTGTTAGTTGTTTTTCTATTCATGTTGTTTTTGTTGTTTCCAAATCACGTAGCAACAACCTTCCCCATTTTCTTAGTGATATACAAAAACCATGTTGTTTGGTTGCGTGTATCTACGCACGTCTCTTGGAAAATCTTGGATCATCTTTGCTGGTCGAACAACCCAGTTTCCATCCATTAACTCCCAATTTTTTTTTGTCCAAACTGATTTTTTCTGAAAAAAAAAATCTGATATCTTCTGGATTTCTGTTCCACCACGGTCACCACATCCTCACTTTTTTTGGTTTGACTCCCCAGCAATCCCAGCATTGCAACGGTTCCCAAAAAATCCACCCTCAAAGCCTCAACGAGCTGATCCAGGGTCAACTGACCCGTCTTATCCACGTCAATGCGATTGAACACACCCTCAAGAAACCTGGCGGCTTACACACCAACAAAAAATATGGAGCAACATAAATAGGTGGTCATTTCTGTTTGTATCTGGTAAGATTGTGGTTTTTCGTGTTGCAAAAATATCGGTAAATTCAAACTGGCCATGACAGCCATCATCATTCTCCATGATAGCCATGGGATCATTATCAGGTTGTTTTCACACCGGATCAACGCTGGCTCGCAAGAGGATTTGGGTTTCACGTGGTTGTCTTCGGCATTGAAAAAGTACTACTTGAACATGTCCTACCCTGGCAGACTGAATCATGAGGATATGTTGGATTAGCATGATTAGCATCCATGCGCAATACGCAACATAGGTGGTATGATTTTATTTTTCACCTGGTTTGAAATGGGTGGATATGGGTGAAAAATTAAATTTCCCTTGTGTTTTACTATTTCCTTGATCGCTATTTAGCATTCTCAATGTGGGAGGTTTGTTGGTAATGTACATGACAGGCGGATGCCATCAGTTGATAGATCGAAGTGCCAAAACAATACAAACCTAGCGGGCCGCGTCCAAAACCCACAAACATGACAAACACCTATTTTTTCTTCGAGTGATCCCCACCAAACTATCTGACATATTTTCTGACATTCTATCTGGCATTCGGGCTGGCATATATTCTGACATTCTATCTGACATATATGTTGGCGTTCTACCTGGCATGTTGTCTGCCATTTCGTCTGACATTTTGCTTGGCATTCTATCTGATATCCTTTCTGGCATTCTATCTGACATATCTTCTGACATTATACCTGGCATTCGGGCTGACATATATTCTGACATTCTATCTGGCATCCTTTCTGGCATTCTATCGGACATCTATTCTGACATTCTATCTGGCATTATATCTGACATATATGTTGGCGTTCTACCTGGCATGTTGTCTGCCATTTCGTCTGACATTTTGCTTGGCATTCTATCTGATATCCTTTCTGGCATTCTATCTGACATATCTTCTGACATTATACCTGGCATTCGGGCTGACATATATTCTGACATTCTATCTGGCATCCTTTCTGGCATTCTATCGGACATCTATTCTGACATTCTATCTGGCATTATATCTGACATATATGTTGGCGTTCTACCTGGCATGTTGTCTGCCATTTCGTCTGACATTTTGCCTGGCATTCTATCTGATATCCTTTCTGGCATTCTATGTGACATATCTTCTGACATTATACCTGGCATTCGGGCTGACATATATTCTGACATTCTATCTGGCATCCTTTCTGGCAGTTTTTCTGGCATTTGCGCGGGGACCTGGAGCTCGCCATAGGGCATTATAGGGTTCAGGTCCGTGTGTGCACAGGCTGCCGTGGAGCTCGCGATGGGTTTCTGGCACTTGCTGTGAGCTTGGTCCCTAAGGAGTGGGACACGAGGCGGAGAGGAGGAGGGCGAGGAAAAGAGGGAAAGGAGAAAGGAGTTGCACCTTTGTCTCAGACCCTCACCTGGGAGGCGGGGAACAACAACAATGGCAAACCTGCGGGGATGTTACTATAGACCAGTATGTCTGGTGACAAACCATGAGCCAACAACATGAGGTCTCCAAGGGCTCAAACTCCAATTTTTGCAATTTTATGTTCGATGCTGCTAAAAGGCTGATGGTTTGCTGCGAGGCTTTACAAATAGGTTGTGCGGTATGTGCGGGTGAAAGCCAAAAGGAATCCAAAGAATGGAACCCAACATGTAGCAAGAATATATATCCTTATGGGAAAATCAATCTGTTCACCTCTTGTCTCATCTAACCCAATGTAGGAAATCGTTCAAGATCATATTTCACACCTCAAAATGTCCCGGGAGGAACAACTCGTCCCCTCGACATTTAATTGTCAATACCAAAAGAAGGATCGGCATTGTGACTCAGTATAATATACCACGATTGTGATCAAGTGATGAACCACCAAAATCGTGTCGAAAACACCCAAGCCCCAACTGGTAAATAAAGAGGCCTCTTGTCCGCTTCCATGTCTTGTTCCATCTCATCCGCCAAGTTCAAGATGTCCCTGTCCCTCGCGTCTGCGAATGTATCAACAACCTCGGGCACGAAATCGAAGCAGCTGCGCGGCACGCATGAGGAACCCCAAAGGACATACCAAAAAATGTTAAGCGCAGCTTCAAGATTGAAGTCCGTTCCACAAAAGAGTTCCCTACGTTTCGAGGAACTTTGGTTTCCCTGGTTGACGTTTGGTCTTCTTTTTGGGGGGGCGAGAGGGAGCTGAAGCTGGCGCGTAAATCCGGCTCTAGCTCCGGCTCTCAATTTCAATGGAATTCTGGCTACGGTCTCGTGCTTTTTGTCGACGGCTTTTCCAGATCGAGGCCCGAAACCGCAGAAACACAGAGCCTTCGCAACCCCAGGAGCCACCATACCTGTAAAAACACAAGGATTCGCACGCTTACATGGTTTCACCCGTGGACTCACGTGCTCCCGGCCTGTTTCAATTCCCAGCTACTTGATGATGCGATTGACATGAAGATGTGGTTGGCTTGATGGTGTGAAGACTAAAACCATGACCATTGGTACGTAGCTCAGAAGTTTGCTAACTAAACATCCTGTGATGAAGTGTCCATGCGATGATGTTGGTGCGATGATTGTGACCATGGCGATGGAAATGGTGAGATGGATGGCATGAGGATGTGTGCCGATGTTAAAGTTACAATCGCAAATGTGAAGTTGTAGGTGTAGTGGCGGCCATATAATGATGATGATGATGATGATGATGATCATCATCATCATCATGATCGTGATCGTGATCGTGGTCATGATCATGCTGCTGCTGCTGCTGATGATGATGATGGTGGTGATGATGATGATGTTCATGATGATGATGATGAGGATGATAATGATGATGATGATGATAATAATAATGATGATGATGATGATGTTCATGATGATGCTGAGGATGATAATGATGATGATGATGATGATGATGATGATGATGATGATGATGATGATGATGATGATGATGATGATGTTCATGATGATGTTCATGATGGATGATGTTCATGATGGATGATGTTCATGATGATGTGCATGATGATGTTCATGATGATGTTCATGATGAGGATGACGGCGACAATGTATCTTGGCACCGGCTCTCTGGAAGGTTCGCAGGTGCTTTTGGGGAATGCTATGTTTGGATATGTTTGGATATTCATCTGCTATGATGATAGATGTTGATCAAGTTCAATACATTTTGTGGAGGTGCTGACCTATGAACTGTGTTATCTTCCATCCTGCAACAGACATTTCAACTGAGCTATTTTGCAAATTCTTCGCCACCTCCATGATCCCCCTTCTGAAGCAGAGTCCAAGAGGCAACCGCAACGATGAGGTTCAATACACCGAAAACCAAGGTGAGGAGGCTCCCCACAAAAATAATGGCAGTGGCAGGGTATGCCCTTGGATGCGCGCGAGAAGCGGCCAAAAACACATGTATGCTATGCACTGAACACACACAAACCATAGAAAGTTGATATGGGAAACATGTCAACAACAGACTTGGGTTCCTCTGAAGCCGTGGTATACTCGGACACCCTGTTTAATTATCATATTACCCATTAAATAGCCATATATAATCTTATATATATAGGGGATATCCCCAATAGTCTTCAGACCCCCTGTGACATTCATCCGTTGCCAATCTTCGATCAACAGTCAATAAGCAAGCACGGGGATGATCATCATCATCTGGACTTGGTATATATAGGGCCACTATGGGATAATCATGTATAGGATAACTGAGTGTGACGGTAACCGGCGGGCCGGACCCTGAACCAGCAAACCATGCCGGCACAGTTTCCCCCTCCACAGTTTCACGGTTTCACGGTTGGGCCCGGTCAGCTGGGAAAGCGTGCCGCACGGTCCGGGCTCTACACTGTCACGGCTGACCGGAAGCCACAGGGTTTCATGGCTGACCGTGGAATCGTTGGCTGCACGGTTGCTACTACTACTACTACTCCTCCTGCTGCTGCTGCTACTGCTACTACTACTGCTACTGCTACTGCTACTGCTGCTGCTGCTACTGCTACTGCTACGTTGATTCTCATTCCATGGGTTATAGCCTTTCAACTCCTCTTGTAGTCGTTTGTGTTCATCAATTACAACATTGTACTACAGGTTGGTTTTACAGCACAACTACATAATCAGCCCTGTTATATAACTTGAGGGGGTTACACACCAATCTATCGCCTATCTGGCTGAATTCGTTCAATTCACTGACTTGAAGTAAGGTTATGTTTGTGGATTACCCTTTACACTCACCATCATTTACAGGATGATGGCGGCCAGCCGTTATAATTTACCCAAATGAATGAATGTTTCTTGAAATAGGCGTATCCCAAAACCATTCGTTTCTATTTGAAAAACATAGATGATTTTGGGGTCACCCATTTTAAGAGATCCCCATATTGACTACACAACATAAATTCAATCACCGAGCAACTCAATGACAGGCACAGCAATGGTGCCCCAGGAATCTCCTGCTATGACAGTTTTGAAGAGGAGAAGATTCGCATCCTGCAGGTCTCACAAGAGGTGACGGGGTGAACGACGATTTCACCAAAGAATTCTTTGCCAACGAAAATATGAGTTTGAACAATTGAAGATTCAATCACCCATGGGCGGCCCATGGGTCTGTTTGTGGCTGGTGGTAGATTCCCAATATTCCCAGCTTGGTGTTTCTGAATACGTATATAATACATTTATAGATAAATATACAATAATTATGATATAATATACCAAAAATTATTGCTCTATATATATATAATCTAATAAATGTAATATATATATATACAGAAACAGATGACAATCATTATCACTATTGTTGTTATTGTTACTATGTATTGTTTATTTATCCCAACTTGAAGCACCATGACAAAACAGCATCTTTGTTGGCGAAATCCGAAAAAAAAAACCACCCTCCACCGTCCATGACTGAAGAGGTGGCTCGTAGGCACTGCGGACATTCTTGGAAGACTTCGGGATCCCTGCGGTGCATCTCCTGCGGTTCCATAGGAAGGCGGCTGAAATCAGATTGCGAAGGGGGTGACCATCAAAGACAGGGGTTAAATGGGGTTAACCATTGAACATGGAGGTGTAAACAAAAATGTGGTTTTTCACATCTTTTAACTCCTGAAATGGGAATAGTGATAGTTATAACGCATATATACTATGAAATACCGCCCAAAAAAATTGGACCACTGAATGAATAGATCCAATACTAAACCGTTCTACGGCATGTAAAATGGGGGATTCAACCAGCATTCGGGAATTAAATGGTTAAAATTATGTCATGAGATATTAGATGGGATTGGGTCAACAGAGTTACGGGGAAGTTGGACCAATTCATAATGGGTCAAAAACCAAATCGGGAAATTGTCGCAAAACACAAGGGTATAATCTGTGGGATTTGCTTTCAGTTTACGGCAATTTAAATAGTGTATGCTCCAGATAAACCCAACTAAGCGATTGGACCTCTGGACCCGATGGGATTTGCGGGTATCTTTAGCAACCAAAAAAATGGCGACAGTGCTAAGCAACTGTTGTAATTTGCCTTAATTTTTGCAATGTGTTCTTTCATTCGTGTCATTGTGCTTCATTGCTACCATGTTTCCAAGGTCTGAACGGGAAAATCTGGGTCATTTGTTGTCCTGCGGTCATCCATGTAAATTATCTACAAGATAGTGCTGGAATCCAAGAGTTTTTTTCTACATAGACCAGTTGAAGGATCCAGGACAATGGTGGACTGTTTTGGCACCGGAGGAAGGCCAAATTGGCACATTGATCTTCCAATGATGGGTGCGTGACCACCATCTGTATCTGTTGGTGGATTGCAGCTAATGGACCGAGCCTTTGAACCTTCGAAGATCCGGTTGGCTTTAGGGGTTATTCACTTTGCTGTCGGCGTGCAAGCCGCAAGTTCCCAGCAAAGAGTGACTTTACGGAACATGAGGCAATGAGAGGTGGTAAAACCGTCAATGCAGGAAAATGAAGTTCAGGA